TATTTTTGTGAAAAAATATCTTACAAATAAATATGTTTCTAATGTAATACATTTCTGCTATTACATTATTATAATTTACATATTTACCAGAACTTGATGTGGGAAAATAATTTTAATATGTACAATTAATTAAAAATATATACCAAATAGAATTTCAAATTAATTTCAATCAGAAACTAATTTTAATTATTAACAATTAATATTTGTAACAGCAAATTAATATTGGTATTTATTGATCGGAATTATGTCAAAGTTATTGATTATGACCTCATTTGATCCATTTTAAAAACACTTCGGTTCTATTTTAAGTGATGTCCGATTATTAATGCGAATGACTGTACAATTGTTTATATATATCTGTTAGTATTATATTATTATATGAATTACCTGATTAGTAGTCGTCGGTTGGTTATAACCAGAAGTTGCTGATGCTGGCGCAGAAGGTGAAGCTTGACTAAAAGTCGATGTATTGGCTTGAGGGAACGACGAGGAAGAATTGTAACTTGCTTGCGTAACAGTCGACGTCGCAGAGTAACTATTAGCACTGGTGCCTGACACTGTTTGAAAAGATGACTGAGCAGAGGGAGCATTTGTGGAATATGCGTTGTAGGTGCTTGGTGCTGCAGTTGGTGCCTGGAACGATGATTTCTGAGACTGATAGGTTGTTGCTGTACCATACGATGCTGCACTTCCTGGCGAAACTTGCGAGGTAAAATCTTGTTTGGTTATGTCTAATGTCTGTCCGGTAGTACTACCACGAGCAGTAAAACTTTGAGCGTTCATAGAATGTTCGCTTGAAACCGGTAAATTATCACTATTTGATAACTGAAAAAACATATGATCGAAATCAGTAAGATCAAGCTTCTAAAAAATTACCAAGATATTTATAATTGTATGCTGTACCGTTAATATATGAATTACCATTTGAGAAGTAGTATTGAAAGGTGTTGTTGAAGTTTGTGTTGTCTCAATATCCAACGAATTATTTGTATTGGCAGTGTTTACAGCATTCGTGGTAGAAGTCACATCTGTGCTAGGAATCGCGTTACTAGCTGCATTGAATTTTTCGTTCGCCGAGCCGTCAAGAGAACTCGAATCGCTACTGAATTCTAAAGCGCCGAATTGAACGTCAAGAAATCCAATACCGCTATTTACGGCATCACCGGGCATTTCTACAGCACTAGATGGGATCTTCGAAGGCGGCGGCACTCGCGGACGTTGTTTCATTTGCCTTTGTGGCTAGTAAGTTTATAAAATATTCCATTATAAATCAAATAATCTTCTATTAATTTTTCCGTGAAATAAATTAATCTAATTAAAATATAATATATATCTCAATTACTTGGCTAGTTATCGACGACGAAAATGTTGTTTGTCCGGCCGCTTTTAGATTTTCACTCGTCTGTTGGGTAAGTTGTGTCAAATACTGTGTTTGTGCAGCTGTTAACACCCCGCCGCTCATAGCATTTGGTTGTTGCGATAGTTGCATCGTTGGTAGGTTCAGAACAGGCTGCTGTTGTTGCGACTGTTGGATCAGTGTCTGCTGTTGTATCGGTGATATTTCCGTCAGTTTTGGTAGTTCCTGGTAGTATAGATTTTTAAAAAATACATTTTTAAGTAATATTACAAATTAAATATTATGCAATAAGTAAATAACGTACTTCTTGTTGTATTAATGCCAAATTTACATTTTGATTAGTCTGCACTGATGGAAGATCTTGAATTTTCGGTTCTTCTACAGAAGCTGTAGGCTCTGGTACAGATGTACTCGGGGTAAAAACTTTCGTATCTGCCAGTGAACCTGTGTATTCTTCATTGTCCCAGTCTTCTGTAGAATCCAAATTATTCCATGCATCTATTCGTATACATTACATATTGATGAAACAAGTGTTTAAAATAATTTAAAACTTTTACAACTAAAGTTTATGTGAAAGCTTACCCATCTTTGGTTCCTGAACAGTTTGTTGTTGTTCATCGTTACCTGTCCATGTTTCAATTGATCGATTGTAATTGTGAGGCGATGAAGTGGATGAGGGGTCGTTACGATTGGCGAATGTTCTTGGGCCAAGTCCTCTTCCTCCACCTCGTCCACCTCGACCTGGTCTTCCCGAACCACCTCTCCCTCTCCTGTTACCGCTGTAGCTGCCGTCACGAACACCATCCTCCATGTTTCTTTCATTTTCTTTATTTTCTCTGCCACGCCCTAAGTAAAAATTTGTTTTACTTACAAACCATCTATTTACTACTTTTGAAATAAGCTGTATATTTAATAGCAAAACTACTGATCTAATCAGCATGCCTTGCTCTGAACTTTTTCTAGATATTTACATGAAAAGTTTTTGAATAACTTCTTTATTTGAGCACATAGCAAAAATTGTACATAATCTGTTTAAACTAGTTTATGGACCTTTATGGAAAATAAAAATTTTCTGGATTAATTTCAAGAAACAAAAATTGAACATAGAAGAAATATGATACATAAAATTTGCAGTCTGAATATTACTTATTTCTTGTATCTAATAAAGTAAGATCTGTCATTAATATAATACGTATTAAAAAAGTGCGATATATTACTCTTTCTGCCTTTAATTTTTTGTACTCAAATATTTAACAAATTCTTCAAGGAGGAAAAGTGATACTTTTAAATAAATTCAAATCCAGATAAGATACAACCAAGGTCTATAGAAGTATTTCGAGCAATACACTTGAACAATGTATGACCACAATTTAATGAAAATTATGCACAAGTAATTCATATTACCTATGTTTACCTATATTGCATCGTAAACAATTGATATATATATTCACAACTGGAAATATTGAACAATAATATCGGATTGATAATTTTTAATTTTAATAGCTAAAATGATCCGAGTATCATTTATGAAAGATTCGATTCTTTTTATCAGACTACTTACAAGTACACATAATATGAATACATTACAAGTATACTCTTTAAAAAGCTATCATTTTTAATATTTGAAACTTACATCCGCGATTGTCATGATTAGCACGTCCTCGCATTCGCGGGGGTCCACCACCGCGTTGATTACGTCGTTCGTCCCAGTCGCCACCTTCGTCCTGACCACCAGAAGCATCTGTATTTTGCTTGGAACCACTAGGTTGACGAGGCTTTTTCTTTTTCACTTCCCACTCTGTTTTCACACCTTCCAGAAGATCATTAACAGCACGATCAAAGTCTCCATCGCTGTCATGCAATGCCATAACAACTTCATCCTCTGAGCGTCTGGTCATATCCATGACTTGTTTTATACGCTCCTTCAGGATAGGATCTTCACCACTACCCATTCTAGTATCAATGATTTGTGTATGGCGTGCCTGAATAGCATTTGACTAAAACAGAATCACAATTTTTAAATAAAGAACTTTTCATAATATAAAATGTTGCGAAATATATCTAAAGACAATGATGATAAAAGTAATTGGCCTCACTGACCTGTGCTTTTTCATGTTTCGTCGACTCTGATGATTTAGTTTGATGATGATCCGATTTCCCATGTTGTTGTGAAGATTTGTTTTTAGTGGTGCTTCTCCCACCGGAGGACACCGATTTGTTGCTTGAACTCATGGCCAACTAAAATCCCACACACCTATATCACTCACCTCTATCACACTATGTACACTCTCTATTTACAGTCTGTAACAAAACAAACATTTGATTTCATACTTTTAATACGAACAAATCATTAAAATTAATGATTTAAAAACACTTGTTACTTCTTTAACGTACTTATAAAATTTTAAACATTACTTAAATCCGTTTCACTTAGTTTATAAGTCCCCACTATATACATCATAATTATATATAATCTCCTTATTATAACTGTTAAGATTTAAATGCAGATAACAATATGTAATTATTATTATTATCATTATTAAATAGATGTTCCAATTTTAGGATATTTATGATAGTTGTAATGATAAATTTATAA